GCCAAGAGTCATTCTTGTGATTCTCTTCTTTTGCCATAATGACCACCTGCCCAAGCCATCGCGGTTATGTTTGTTTTGGAAAGTTCCCGCTCTGTCTCTGTCCAGAGCTTGGCTGGTTGTCTGGTAAACCTTGTTACCATATCTATACACTGTTTCTTCGCATCTTCATTTTCCAAGGTGGCTTCTAACTTATTCGGTAGGCAAATTTCTATTCATCGGTCTTGTTAATATCCATAAATTTTAAAACGCAGATCGTTAAACTAGTAAATTTGCTTTTAGACGTCTCGAGGGACCATTTAAACACCATTTCCTCATGGTGTTTGAGAACCCTCAATGTATATCTGAGTTGGCTTAAATGGTGGGGAGCCACTTAACAATGCTGTCAGCCAGCGATGTCTCAGCAGTATCGCTATTCTTATGTATAATGACGTGGTCAGACAGACTTCAAAACAAAAGCTTCCAGCTTTTCTAGGTGGAAGATCTGAGAGCTGCGGAGCTTTGTAGAAGGGATTCCAGCTGGTAGCACTCTACCTTATCAACCAACTTTTTTTCTAGCCATCACAAAGCGGAAAATCTAGTTCCCGAAGATAATTCTGTCTGAAGTTGCCTTCTATGTATGATTCCTGTTTTGCCCTGACTCCTTAAACTGACAACGAATCTCCTGATGGAGCTGGCTGGTGGGCTTTTATATACGCGTAATAGAGGTAATGTAACTTAAACTCTACCACCCGGAGGCAGGTACCTTGTACTGTTGGAGTACAATCGTCTTTAGTCTTTTTCAATGTAGTTTGTGTGGTTTATTTAACTTCCATTCTTGATTATGATTTCTTCAAACATTTGGATGACCATCATTTAATCTTTGATATTTTAAATTTTTCTTTGCACTGCTGTACACTAGAATTTATATAAGTATGTAGTACAGAAATAATGCATTTATCTTAGATATATAACTGAGTTTTCTCCTATCTTCAAACCAGTCCATGCGAATCGTCTTATTCCTTCCTCAAGAATACTAAATAACAAGTTACAAGGCGCACTTCAAAAAACCGCGCATCTGCTTGCTGTGCAAATTTAATCCTTTTTCAGATCTTGAATGGCGGAAATTCGTAACATTTTTTCATTTCAGCTCAGTAATCGCTGCTGTTCAATCACTAGAGGTCTCAGATTACTAGCCTTTCTTTTTCCTGAGGTTGATAAACGAGTTCTACTACATCAGGTTAGAAATACGCTACATACTGTGCTTGCCGCATAGCTGCTGTCGATTCTGCCTTTAAATTAAGGCATTCTTAGATGCAGGCAAGAAAATGAAGATCCGCGCCCCTCCATTAAATTCTTGAAAAGAAAGGCTACAAAAACAGCCTTATCATTTGTGTGAGGAAGACGTACATGCCAACGGTTCCAACCTGCGTTTCCTTCCTTTGCACCTGTTCGCTACGAACCGCGGGACGTTTCAGTCGTCATCATGATTACAAGCAGACAAGTTGAGCTGTTTATTCAACAAGTAACATGTGTACATCTGTACAACCAGATAAAGACAATCAATTAACAAAAGACACTGTCGCTGGAACAATTTTCTAAACAGCCCGATATGTAAAAAAATAAATCTAGCAGATCCTCGACGTGATATCCTACAACGAATCAAATTTGCACACTACAGAGTAAACTCTAAACATTTCAGCGATCAAATAACTGAAAATTGTTTTAAATCCATCGGGCGCTGACAGATGCCGACGGCAGGCTTCGGTAAAGCTACGGAAACAAAATCACCAAGACCGACGTACGGTTCAGCAAAATGAACTGCAATACAGCGAAAGTACTGTACACCTAGAAATCACGTGATACTCGATACATGCTTCTGCTTTTTGATGACCAATGTCGGGCGCCGTGCTCGACCGGAGTGCTAGTGATGAAGTCATTGGTGCTGATTGGCGACGACGATGTCCTACTTAAG